CTGTACATCAAGCGACGGCTGAAGGACGCCCGGGAGAGCAGCCTCTCGGATGGTCATGGGAAGCAATGGATGACTAACGAGGCCACGCTAGTCATCTCGAGCGTCTCTAAACTAGTAGCTGGCACAGTCACATACCCCTATCAGGTCATCCGAAGCCGTCTACAGAATTACGACGCCGACGAACAATTCGGGCGAGGTATTCGGGGCGTCATGAGGAGGACGTGGATGGAAGAAGGTTGGCGCGGCTTCTACCGTGGCATTATCCCTGGTGTGGTTAGAGTCATGCCCGCAACATGGGTCACGTTCCTCGTCTATGAGAATGCCAAATTCTACCTGCCTCAGTGGTCTAGCGATCCGAGCATAGATTAGTCGATTCCCCCTCTATTTGTATCATAATAGACATAGAAATGTATTATTTGTTAATTCTCTTAGATTGCTGCCCTAAGGCCTGCGAGGGCTGCGGAAAGCTTGCGGTTGTAGTCTGTAGCCGTAGTATTTTAGATAGGTGCTCAATTCCTCTTGTTCAAATGGCTCTTCACCCTCCGTGGAACAATGTCCTACCATACTTGCGGAGCTCGAAAGGGCAAATATAAGATAACTGTCACGGTCCCAAACACAAACAACTGTAGACGATGAAGTCTTCCACTTCAAAACATACTATATTCGTTAGCAGTGTCGTGATACGGTGCTGCATTTCTGTTCCCTGACGATGAAAATAGACATATCCACGTACTTCGCTAGTCTTTTATGAGGTTTCTAGCGATGAACATAGTAAGAAATCGCCAATGACATTGACGCCGTAACACACAACAGGCAGATGCTAGACGATACGTATTGCATTTGGCTGACATCCTGGCCATGACCAAGTGATTGACGCAATAAGGGTATCTATCAGGGGGCTACGATCACCGAAGAGTGAACCTCCAGCCCAAAAATATTGTGAGGTGCCGTCGTCATGTAGTTTTAGCCACAGAGTGAGTAGATAGACCTGTTTATATCCAGGGGGGTAAATGCGAGGCCTAATAAAGTGAACAGGTTGATTCCTGGACCTCCACTTCAAGGTGCCTGGGGTTTTCACTCTTATATATACCCAATACGTACTATTTCGATCTCATAGGGTAGCTAGGACCTAACTAGCCTAATACTAGATATCTCTACTCCCTGAGGAGGCCTTAATCCTATACCTCAGCCTGGTGGTAACCTACAAGCTATCCAGCTTCACTCCAGAGACCTAGTGATATGACAAAATCCAACATATTGTCATGCTGGCGACGTGTCAGTTCAACTGATGCCTTGGCTGGTGGATGGCAGATTCTGCGTCTTACCATCAACTAAAGTGCCACTCAAGCTGCGAAATACATACCTAGTTACATGTACCTGCCTACCTACCTAAGAGTAGCGTTAAATTGAGGCTGTAAAGGTTTTTTCACAACCCAAAGTGCCCTTTCGTGTCAGCCCCCAGCACCACTACTGTCAAGGCAGCTATCTAGGGAGTCCGCTAGGCTACGGCTACCTGAGACTTGCCTGAGAAGAAAGGTTAGGTTTACTTAAAACCCCCATCCCTCGCTCCCTAGCTGCCGTGTCCGTCCCCTCTAGTGCTAGGCAGTGTACAGAGTATGTCGACTTCTTTCAGAACCTCCCTCCGCGATGGCGCCTCCACCCTTGGCTCCGATCCGCATGCTCTTCCATCCGACATGGATTGCGCTTTTCATGATTATTCTTATAGTCGTCACTCTTCTGAGACAGGACTTCGTGTTCCTATCGTCCCCCACCGCATGGGGCCTCGACCCTCAATCGCCTCCTGCAAATATCACACCGAATCCGAATGGCTACTACCATGACGCCGCACCGTGCCCCCTCACACACAACTCTTCCACGGCAGACATGGCCCCGGCCTGCCGGACAAGCTTCAGTTCTTCGCTTTTGACGCGTACGTCTTTCCGATCGCCTGCCTCGCGCCCTCCCCGTGCTAACCTTGGCAGCGAGATGTCCCTGGGCATTTTCGGCGCAACTGCGAGTTCTGTTATTCACACGTTCGCTGCAACGCGCCCTCTACGTGTCCTCTACGTGTCCTCTACTTCGATGGACAATCCGCTACCTTAACCGACACCGGCACTTTGGATTCGCAGATGGCCATCCTCGGTACCGAGATGCCTTCTGCTCCCGTGTATACCCATATATATGACGAAAGTCAGAGGGCCTTGGAGCTATGTGCACTAGTAGATGATCTGGGCATTGACGGGGTCGTGAGGATGAACGCTGGTTTTGAGATACTTCTCTGCAATTGGCCACAATCCGGTGTTGAGCACCTCTTCGCAAGTAATCTCACGCTACCCGGCAACCAAGAACGCGGAATGGACAAGTCTCTGCCGAACGATCCCAATCGGCAGCCCCCTCTCGGCTTCGGAAACGCATTCGGCGAACAGGGCTCTTTCGAGTGGTTACGAAGTGCCACATGGCACTACGGCAACTACGGCCAGGGCGGCCCGGCCTTTGGACATGTGAAGCTGGATCTTTGCACCATGGTGTCGTTTTATGACCCCGAACTCACGAGTCTCGGTGGTTTGCACTATGGCCGCATTATCGGAAACCAGACATTCCAAAACGGCTGGGGTCTTCGACGAGGCCACCGTCTTGTTGGATTATCCAGCCGCGATGCCAAGGCAGTCAAATCGACAGTACGTGAGAATATAGGAGGCTCAAAATGCTCCGGCATAGAATGGGACGTGTTGGCTGAGTCCATTGTCTCCCAACATAAAACTCGCCTGTTGGATATTTCAAAGACCATCGGCAGCCCTCAACCAGCCTCGTTCATCGTTACAAGGATCCATGAATTGACCCATGCCATTCTCTACCCCTATATTGAATACCCTTTTGCCGCCACCGGGCGTAGCGTCGACGAGGTTGAGGCACTCACCGTCTCTTGACGCTCGTCAGTTTATACGTCCAAGGTAAATCCGAGTGGACTGTCTAGATCCGAGATGTTGCTATATCATTCAATTAATGTCGTTCTCGGTCGACTATGCTCTTCTGAATGGGATCTTCTCAAGTGGAGCGAGAAATACACAACACAACTCCTAGGCGAACACGACGACATCGATTTGTCTCGGATCCTGAGGGAGATCGAAGACAAACAGAAACTTGTGGATTCACTTCTGGCTTGGATGGGATGGGATAACTGGAGCCAGTGCGAGGCTCAGTGTCTCGAAGACGTGAGTTAATAACCTATTTGTACGTTTCTAGTTGGCTAATATTATACAAACAAACAGCAACTCTGTGCGATCCCAACGTGGCCCGTGGACTACGCGCCTGGGTTTCCTCAAGGTGGCATATACGCCGTAAACAATACGAAAACTTTTGAACGGGACTTGGCTGAATTTTGGAGGCCAAAATGCATCAATAGGACAGATTTCGACAGGGGAGGTGGGCGCGGCCGAGAGCCTGATTACCAATTCCCTGATGTCCCCTCCTATCACCAAGTATAAACTTAGTAAATCAGAATGGTTGGTGCCTTCTACACCCGCCGTCTTTGGGCCCACACGACTAGGAGTGGCACACATTCCATTCATGCAGCTCCAATACGTGTTTATTGGCTGCTCTAGGCACAGCTGCGTATACTTCATCGACTAGATACTTTGTAGTAGTGGCGTCGCGGTCTACACTGAGAGGAGTTGGGGGCAAACTAAGCAACATTGTGCGGATGTGCGAATGATCTTATGGCCTGCAGTTGATTTGGTGAAGTGGCCTATGGAAATTTCCCAGCTGCTGAAACAAGCATTGAGGTATGTATATGCTGGGGGGGAGAGTTTTGATAGGCAAATGAGGGAGGTAGAACAGGTTTTCAAGGCGGACAGGCAATTGCGGCTTTGGCATCGGTTGTCTGGGTGCTACAGTTGGGCCTGAGATTGCTTCTTTTCTGTGTGATGGGATCACTTATATCAGTTATAACGGCTGTCTATCTGCAAAAAAATAACATCTAATATCCGCCTCGCGAGACGCCGTTTCAATAAACCCCTTCCAACACTTTGCCACATGAATCACCATACATACATACATACGTACGTACGTACGACCAAGGCTTTCCTCTCCGTCTCGGGGACTAAAAAGAACAGGAATGAATGTATTCAAAAATGCGGAGGACACACTATCCCGACATCTTTCCCCATATCTATTGTCACGCCTCCATCGGTTACAGAAGCTGAATAGGCCGTGGCACCCGATATTTCGGGTAGTTGAATAAGGAAACCGGAGGTCTTATCTAGATCGTATAGGCAAGGTAACAGGAGAAAGGAGGTCCTAAGCAAAGGTCTTAGATACTAGCTTAAAAAGGTACTACCTAGATAGGTAGCGAAGGAAGTGAGGCGATTAGAACGAGCCAAATCCCTCTTTGCGAGAGGCCAGAAGAATAGATCTAGCAGGACAACCTTGACTCCCGTAGAAAACTATCGATGAAGACACCCTCTTCCAAGCCCTCCAAAACGAGCCCTTGTTACTATCTGTAGTACCGACCTAACTAACCCAACAGTTTCTGAATCAGATGCGTCGCCGTCCGGTTTCCTTCTCTTCCTGCGTCTGAAGAGTGAATGTTCATGTCCGACAGGGTCTTGTCGCATGGCCCTGACGAAACCAGTGGGTGTTCAGATGCACAAAATTTTGTTGATAAAACGCAATGCCGCGATTGACTGACTCGCTGTGAAATCTTTCATTCATTCATTTATTCATACAACAACTGCCCTCGCAAGCCATCTATCTACCTAGTCTACATGCACACACAATCGCCAACCCCTTCAGGTAATTAAATCATTACCCAAAGCTAGGTATGCTGCATCCTCTTCAATAACACTCAATATCCATCAATTAATCAATCTAAAACCGTATTGAAGAACCTCAGAATCCTGTACTCTGTACAGCGAATCTATCATGTCCTCTTCACTATATCTTTCGCTATCTAGGTACATAATCTATAGCCACTTTACAGGCCAGCATCCAATAAGCAGCTCGCCCCTGTGACGCAGTGGTTTAGCGTGCCGTTCTTATACTCTCTTTGGGGTCCTCCGAAGCTTGTATGACTGAAATGCGGAAGCCGTGAGTTCGATCCTCACCAGGGGCAGTTCTTTTTCCACCTTTTTTCCATTATCAACCCATACTTAACATTCCCATTCGTCGGAATGCGTTGTTCATATCTGTGATATAGACCTTTTTTGGAGTCGGGACTGCACATCATGCAAGCAGGATAAATTGAACGGCGCTTAGTTGGGATGATCTGCACACCACTCCAGTGTGGATGGATGGGTGGGTAGCCGCGCGCTTTGAGTTTTAGCAGGCTGCCCGCCGTCCAGCAGTGCAACTGACAATCATAGTTAGAATTGCCTTCCTAATCAGGAGGGGATTCTCTATGTGTATTAATGAGATCGATCGAGGATGTCAATCCGTAAATACCTACCTAATTTAGAAACATACACACAGGTGATGGAAGTCGAACTGCACCACTACCTGGAGATTTCCTTTGGCTGCGTGATTTGGCTCGCATAATGCAGTAGAGGACCATCGCGATACTGATGTTCATCATTCGCTCACCCAGCATCACTATTCACCCGGGTAAGCTGTTAATTACAAGGTGGCAAGTAGGTTGATTAGATCGTACAAAAAGACATTTCACCCAGCCCCTCAGCAGGGCCGTCAATTCCACAAGAGGAATCTATATTACCTGAATAACGAACGGTGTCAAACTGAAAGAATATGAAAGCAAACCCGCCTATCGAACATGCACACGCCGTATCCCGCAGCGGAAACCGTAATCCCCAGCGCGAACCGCGCAGACATGAGACATCCCACCCCCATTCCCCTCATGGAGGAGTCGACTATCCCACCCCTCCTCACAAAGACAGATTGTAGCTGTACTCGTCCTCCATATTCTGACTGACCCACAGCACGACGGACGAGAGGCCCACGAGGCCGTTGGCGACAATGTTCTCGACCCCCATGCCCAGCATGGGCCACGCGACGCCGCGCACGGCGAACTTGAGCACGAAGACGACGACGCCGCCCGCCATCCCGCCCGCCAGGGCCGCGAACCCCAGGAACAGCACCACGCGCGCCTTCCACGCCACCCCCGACCCGGAGTACCCGAACGCGTTGTCCGCCGACAGCCGCGCCTTCTCCACCGAGTTGATGATGAGCATCCCCAGCGCGCTGAAGAGGAAGGGCAGCCAGTCCACGAACGTCACGTGCACGTCGGACCCGTTGAGCGGCGAGCGCGACCACACGGCCGAGTCGATGAGCACGTAGAAGGCGAGGGAGAACTGTTTTTTGTTTGCGTAAAGTTAGCTATCGCTTGCTTTCTTCTTCGAAACAATTAATCACCGGGGCCTGCCCTGCCTGCCTGCCTGCCTGCCTGAGCGCGCTTTCGACGCTGCGCTGCTGCGGTGTGTGTGTGTAACAGGACCAACGCATCGCATCGGGGGGGAGAGTGGAGAGAGGGGAGGGGAGGGGATAGGGAGAACGCACGAGAGCACCGGCCGCGTAGACGCCGGCATTGCGTGCCCAGACACTGTTGAGCCAGGCCGGCCTGCCGAACTTCCAGAGGCGGTCCTCTTCCATGATTTGAAGGCGCTCGGTCCGGTCCGGTTGGTCGGGCGTTCGATTCGATTCGCTTCTGACTTATCTAGGCGATTAAATGCGCAGAACAGATGGGTTCTTCGCCCGCCTCCTCCTCTCTGAGCAATGCCCGATGAAAAAAAAGCCCCGAGGTCGGTCGGCGGGAGCTAGCTATGAAGTGATGAGGGAAGGTAAGGTAGGTATAGGTATGGCCGTATCGTAAGCTCGTGATGATGTTGCGCGCACGCGTAGATAGCGGACGAAAGCTTGCTCGGGTTTCGGGAGGTCCTCCAGGTCGGAGCCTTGATGACGCTTGAGCCTTGGCAACTCAATCACGGAGGTACAAGGTACATAGATCTAGAACTAAAATCACGTGACGTAATGCTCTCCTACAACAACCCCTAATGTACGAAGTACTGTCCTTGATCTACGCCATAGTGAATAGGCACCTGAGGTACCCCTGTGGGATAAATGCCTCCAAACTACAACAAGGCATACATACTACCGTTATCACAGTCTGCACCCCATCGTTCAGTTTGGCTATTGCATTATATTTTTACGAACTACCTAGTTAGTTAGTTAGTTAGTGTAATCCAATTACACGAGCCGCCATCACATCTCCCGTCGGCGGCGGCGCGCACAAGTGGCTGTGCTGAACCGCCTCGAGAAGAAAGAAGAAAAAAAGATGTGGCTGTATACATGTTTGCTACCTCCCGACGCCTACTAATGTGTGTGAGCCCCCGATGACGAACCGGGGGAGCTGCCCGTCAGATCTATTAACCCACTCGATGAATCGCACAGCACCCAACGATAATAAGTAACGCCTCCCCACCCCGTTGTACAGGTCGCCATTGCAACGGTACCCCTGAACAGGTTGGCTTGGTCCATGTGCTGTTTCTCAGCGTAGAGCCAGGATAGTCTCGCCAACAGCTGGCCGAGCTTTGCGAAGCAAACTAGACAAATATGGTTTTGGTACAAGAATAGAGAAGAAATAGAAAAACAACCATGGCCTTGGACTCTCGCTAGCCACCGTGAATTCGAATTCAGGTCTCGCAGTCTGTGCTTGCAAACGAAGGGAAACGTTCGAGTCCCTGTGTGCCGTTGGGCTCGAAAGATTGTGTGAGCATGCCGATGGTGTTGGTGCGGCGGAAGTGGTCGGGAAAACTCGGACGCGTTCCGAAGATGATGCTCTTGGAACGTTTGCTAAAATCAACGCCCTGAATGCCGCCCCTCTGCTGGATATGTATATTGGTCGTGGAACATAGGCTATCGTTGCTCTTCGTCGTGGAACTCTCGTCAGATCTCTATGGTTTTCATCCCTTCTTCAATCTCGCCGGCGTGACCATTCGTTAGATTCCCCTCCGTTTTCGATGAGGATGAATCCCTGCCTTTGGCCTCGGATGCCCCATTCTGTTGGGTACTCGAGCTAGCGTCGTCTTGCGCCTTGGGCGTCTCCACTTCGACGAGCTTGGCTTCTTTGATACCGTTGGTTACCAGTTTCGGCTCGGGATTTCCTGCTTCCTCTGCAACTCTCGCAAGAGCACTGGGTTTTCCGAAACCAACCCGAGCAGGGCTCACCAGGGGTGATGGACTGCTAAGCCGCTGTAACGACCGTCCCCGGGCATCGCCGCCGGCGTCAACGGGACTCGAATAAGGAGAACCACCAGGGGACGCCGCACTTCCGGGAACGCCAGACCTACGCTTTGCCGCGGCTTTCGCTGTGCGTCCATGCTTTTGGTCCATCCGCCAACGCAGGATGTCGAAATACGAGGGCTCAACGCGGGTAGTCTTAAACTCGCGCAGTTTGAGTTCGTTGGTATCTTCGTCGACGAACCACTTTCCACTATTCAAATCGTCCGCCAGAATGGCAAGAAAAGCCCCCCAGGACCGGGCCACGACGTATTTGGTATCGTAATCTCGTCCAAACAAGATGATTTGTCCCCAGGATCCAGTTGGCCCAGGTGCTAGATCCACCGCCAGATTGTTTCCACCCCAATCTCGTACAAGAGGGATCCAAGCCGGATGCGCATAGGCTCGCTGAATTGCGCCTAGGGGGACTGAGTCTTGGCGAGCCTGGAGATCTTGTCGCCAACTGCCCTTCTGGGAACCCGGCGAGCCCGGGGCCGATCGAGAAGCGGATGCCTCGCCGTTGCCGCCGAAGGCTTTGGAGGGGACCGCTGGTTTTGTGACTGTATTCTCGAGCAGGTACTGTTGATTCACCCGCCGCCATTGATCCCATTCCTGCACTATTTCCTCGCAGTCGAGGAGCATGTGGGAGAAAATGATTCCAGTAGGGTTACCGCCACGCTCCTGGCCGTCATGAACCATGAGGGAGTCCCTCAGATCTTGAGGGAGTGAACAGTCCAGCTGGTGCTCGAGCTCGATCAAATCATTATTGGTGCAGCCCTCGCAGAGCTGGTCGAACAGCTCAGGATAATTCTCTTCAGCCCATCGATCTATGCGCCTCCACGAGTGGTTCACGGGAAGTGTCGGAGGAGCACCATCGGCAAAGGATTGCATTGGAATATCACCAGGGCTGCTCACAGTCTCGAAACCGTCATCTCTCACGCTTTCCCTCCGAGCACTCATTGATCTCAGTCCCGGAGAATAGGGACTGTTGGAGCCGGGCGAGAGTGGAGATACTGAGGGCATGCCGGCGCCCATGTATGCAGTTCCATCTGCCTGATTGGATAACCGACCAAACTCATCTTGGTATGGTGAGGTGATGTCGGCACGAGATTCCGACGCAGTAGCTACCGATGTTAACGTGCTCTGGCGGCTCAGAGGCACGTGGCGTCCTGTTCGGTGGGGGGAATCATAGTTCGAATCTGCATGCATTTTTTTTTAGCAACCGTGCAATTTTTTTCTTCTTCTCACCCCTTCAAGATGGTAACCTACGTCGGTCATAACTGGTCATAGTATGCCAAAACGAGCGGAATGCCGACCCGATATTGCTAGAACGAATCATCAGCTCCTATCCCAACTGCGACTGATCGCTAGGACTTACGCCATTTTGTCAATGCTACTCCCAGCTACTTGGAAACTTCCGTCCAATATGTGAAGAGGTTATCGGTCCCGGGTAGCTGCTCGCTGCACGCAACCCAATGCTCCAGTAGACAAAGGGTGCGTGGTTTGGATGCGCGAACTGCTGAGACTGATGGTAAGGGAAACCAAGCTCTGGGATGGCGTGACCTTAACGCGTTCGTGGCGTCAAAGCTGTCTCGATGGATGTATGATTACGGGTGACTTGCTCCTTTTCTTTTCCGGTTTTCTTTTCTTGGTTGTGGAGGGCACGGACCCGAGGACCCGAGGACCGAGAGGCGTTTCGCAGAAAGCTAGAGAGCCAGAGAGCGAGGGGGAGAGGGAGGGAATTCTCGCAGGATTGTGGAATGGTGTTCTTCCGGTGGTGAAGGATGCGCAACGGGTGTTTCGCAGCGCCGAGGAGGACAGGCGCAGACAACGTTTGCAGTGTACTCCGTACAAGTCACCAAGTCACCGTATTTGGCGTTTCGT